CCAAAATTATCTGCGAAAATCGAGTGAGCCGTCCAATCAATTTTTAATGAATAACAATTTACCATGCTTACAATAACTTTAAAACGTCTGCAAGATCTCAAAGTATTCATTTCTGCAACTCTTGAGTTATTCAATAAAATAAATTGTCTGATCCATACATTTTTTTAAGTCACTGTAAAAGCAAATCTAAAAAATTGTTCTAAAGAGTTTAGACAGTACTTCCCTCGCTGTCGGAAACGTGACGACTGCATGTCTATTATGTTTTTTTTTTGCAGTGGATTTCAAAGCATTCGGTTTTGTAGTTCCTGAGTAAACCAATAAAATAAATTTACGCGTTCATTATTTTTTTGAGTCACTCGCTATATGCAAATTCAAAAAATGTGAATGGAATGATAAATTACAAGTACAGACTCATCATATTTTGTATATTTTAGATAGGATTTATTCGGCAAATTTTTGAGCTGACGTCATCAGTTTTTTGGAGAAGATAACCACATATATTTTGACTAAACATTTATTATGCTCTTTATAGCCTTAAAACATCTGCAAGATTTCAAAGCATTCGGTTTTGTTGTTCCTGATTAACTCAATAAAATAAATTCACGCATTCATTAATTTTTTTGAGTCACTCTGTATATGGAAATCGAAAAAATTTGAATGGAATGATAAATGACAAGAAGAAACTCACCATATTTTGTACATTTTAGGTAGAATTTATTCAACAAAATTTTCTGGCGACGTCATAAATTTTTTTAGGGGGGACGACCAAATACATTTTGATAAAAAATTTACCATGGTTATGATAATTTTAAAACATCTTTAAGATTTCAAAGCATTCGGTTTTGTAATTCCTGAGTAAATCAGTAAAATACATTTACGCATTCATTAATTTTTTTGAGTCACCCTGTATATGCAAATCCAAAAAATATTAATTGAGTGATATATCACAAGTACATACTCATCATATTTTGCACATTTTAGATAGGATTTATTCGGTAAACTATTGAACTGACGTCATCAAGTTTTTGGAGGGGATAACCAAATATATTTTGACTAAAAATTTATGATGCTCTTTATAGCCTTAAAACATCTGCAACATTTCAAAACATTCAGGTTAGCAGATTCAAAATTAAATTTCAAAATGTTGTTTTATAATTTTGATTTTTTTCCAAAAATCTGGACGTTTCGGGTAAAAACTCAATTCAGAGTAGTAAACCACATGTGTAGGAGTATGTTATTTTATACAATTTAAAACCGATTTACTCTGTACAATTTTGAAGTGACGTCATCGCATTAGTGGTGGGGATGATTAGACAAATTTTGGTTAGCGTTTTACCATCTACATGATATTCCTAATATAAGTACAAAATTTCACAACAATCGGTCCAGTACTTTCGGAGATTATCTGTCTTATAAAAATCCGGGATGGCAGACAGACGGACAGACGGACAGACAGAGGGAAATGGGACACCTATTTCTTCGTCTTCTAGGGATCATGAAAGATCGAGAAAAGGTAAAATTAGAGAGTCGGCCGACGGACTCGATTACAATACTTCCTTTGCTTACGCTCGGGAACTAAAAATATGAATGCAATGATAAATTAGGAGTATATACTGATGATATTTTGCACATTTTAGATAGGATTCATCAAGTTTTTGGGCTTGATAAACAGATATATTTTGATTAAAAAACTAACATGCTTACAGTAACTTCAAAACGTCTGCAATATTTCAAAATATTCAGTTTTACAATTCTTGATAATAATAAAGTTTATTTAGGGTTTTCAGTCAATAAAATAAATTGACCCAGTGATTAATTATTTTGGGACACCCCGTTTAAGCAAAACTAAAAAAATATTAATGCAGTGATAAATCACAAGTAAAAACTCATCATATTTTGCACATTTCAGATAGGATTTATTCAGCAAAATTTTCAGGAGACGTCATCAATTTTTTAGGGGGAATGAACAAATACATTTTAATAAAAAAATTACTATGCTTATGATAACATTAAAGCATCTCCAAGATTTCAGAGCATTCGGTTTTGCAGTTCCTGATTAAATCAATAAAATTAATTCACTAATTCATTATTTTTCTTGAGTCACCCTATATAAGCAAATCTAAAAAATATGAATGGAATAATAAATCACAAGTACAGACTCATCCTATTTTGGACATTTTAGATAGGATTCATTTGACAAATTTTGGGCTGGCGTCATCAATTTTTTGGAGAGGATCAGTAAATATATTTTGAATAAAAATGTATTATGCTTATCATATGTTTAAAACATCTGCAAGTTTTCAAAGCATTCGGTTTTGCAGATTCAAAATTAAATTGTAGGTGAAACGAAGTTCACCGGGTCAGCTAGTAATTATATAAAATTACAGCGATGCGTTGTGGCGTTTTTGGTTGTAACAGCCATAAACAATCAAGACATTTTCAAAAAGACGTTTCCAAGGGACAAGTATGGGTTATTTCTTGTTGTCGTTCGAACTCTTTTATAGTAAAAAATGTAAGAGTGTGTTCACAGCATTTTAGTGAAGACGATTTTAAACGAAATTTGCAACACCAACTTCTGAATTATCTTCCTAAAAAAGGAAAAAAAAAACTAAAGTCTGTAGATCAGCCAAGTTAGTTAAAGAAATTTGTTCTAGGGATAAAATCGCAGAAATTAAGTAGATTATTTTACTTGAATATTGATTTAAATCAAACAAATTCAATTAAAAAAAAATGTTCCCAAAGAACATTCTTTTTTAGCAATTATTTTATATTTTCATTTATTTTATAGCACTGAAAGCAATGACGCAAGTGCTGCTTTGGATGATAAAACAGAATCTACTACAAGTAAATCTGTTGGTTATATTGAACAATTATTATATTTACTCAAGGAAAGTGTTTTTCTTTCGAAGAATTTACTTTTATGTTTACAAGGCTTTTTTTGAATGATGTATATTTCTTTCTCAAGGGAAACGATTGTTTGAAGACGTATATCCAATATTTAATTATGTTTTCTTACCTAGTACAAATACAGATCAAGATATACAGAGAGAAGATCTAGAAGCAAAAATTGCTTATCTTAAAAAACAAAACGACGACGTTGTAAAAGAAAATCAAGCTTTGAAAACAATTTTCACTCCAAGACAAATCATCGAAAAATTGTTAATTAACATGTAGATTACAGTTCAATAGTACATTGTATTTATTTTTAGTGGTTACTTTTTCTTGTACTCAGTTTTTGAAAGTTTAGAACAGAATTTCTAAAGTAGATTTCTAATTAAGATAATTATGTTTACGTTAAATGTGCACAATTACCATAACAACAAGTCTGTTCATGATGATCAAATAAAAACCTAAAAAAGCAAAAAATGGATAATTCTGAAGTTCTTGGCATTTTCAGATAACCTGTCCGCTACTAACGAAAAAAATAGCACTTTTTTTTATAATTATCTCCAAATTAAAGCCGCACTTTTCTATTGACTACACGAAAAATAATATTAAACGCGAAATTTTAATTTGTTGCACACAATAGAAATACGCATCAAACTCCGTTAAATTCGTTTTTACAATTTAATTCAGGTAATTCACGTTAGTTTTCAGGTTGTTCAATGCAGCATTATAATTATTGTATTATAATATCGGGGTTGTACAAAACATTTTTTTAAATACATAACGAATTATAACAATCAAAAATATTAGCGATTCTTCCTGCTTTTATGTTGAAATTCCAATAGTTCTATTCACCCAGGGACGTTACTGCGCGAACTGATTTCATTTTGAGCCGCACGAGTATCATACCTAGAGAATTATTATATCATGGGTGGTCAGCGTTTCGTAGTTCTGGTGCTTGCAATTCCATGTTATAGCGTTCTACTATCGCGTCGTTGACATTAACCTCTTTATTAGTTGCGTAAGGAGAAAATTGAAATTTAAAAAATTATTGTTTAAATTTAGGATTTAAACACGACAGAAAAGGGTTCTCTCGAGATACCGACCAACGACTGCATCCTCTCGCTCTCGTTACCACGGACTGTCTGCGAGTCTTATCCATTACTTTTTACTGCTCCAATACATAAATTGTAACAGATTGGTAACAGCCTTGGCGAAGAACTTAACATTTATGTGTCGCCGCTTAAGCCGATAGTGCAAATTGCGCATGATATTTTCTCATAGTTTTCTAACAGTTAGATTAATGACTCCTATTTAACTTCTTTAGTTTAATTTAGTTCAATTTAGACCTTCTTAGTAATAGATTTAAGTTTTCGACAATTATATTAATATATTAATTCATTTATGCTTCTCTGTAATTTGCCCTGTTGCTGGATGTAAGTCTGTTGGGCAATAAACTATTATTATTATTATTATTATTATTATTAATTTTAAAAGCAATTCGGATTTAAAACGAAATGAATTTCGCAGCACATTCCGGCCGTTCTTCGGTGTCCCTAAAACTGTGTGTTGTTACTTATTCTCTAAAGATGATAACAGATGCTAACCACAGGGGTTCTCTCTGCAATAAATAATGTTTAACAACGAAATTATAATTTTACTAAGACCGACCCGACAATGTTTTTAGAACGAAACGTCCTAGAATTAACTTTTAGAATATGGTAACCCTACTCATAGCGCACGAATATCATGCGGTAAAGCAAATGATTAGAGGCATTGGGGTCGAAACAGCCTCAACCTATTCTCAAACTTTAAATGGGTGAGATCTCCGGCTTGCTCGAAGTATTGAAGCCGCGAGACTCGAATCAGAGCGCCAAGTGGGTCATTTTTGGTAAGCAGAACTGGCGCTGTGGGGTGAACCAAACACCGAGTTACAGCGCCTAAATCGACGCTTATGGAATACCATGAAAAGCGTTGGTAACTTGAGATATCAGGACGGTGGCCATGGAAGTCGGAATCCGCCAAGGAGTGTGTAACAACTCACCTGCCGAGGTTACTACCAATGAAAATGGATGGCGCTGAACCGTCACGGCCCAAGAAGCCCTGACGAGCAGGAGGAGCCGCCGTCAGTGCAGATCTTGGTGGTAGTAGCAAATACTCCAGCGAGGCCCTGGAGGATTGACGTGGAGAGGGTTTCGTGTGAACAGCCGTTGCACACGAGTCAGTCGATCCTAAGCCCTAGGCGAAAGCCGATGTCGATGTGGTGTAGATTTGTCGTTGGTCACAAACACGACCTCCAGAGCCGTGGTGACGTGAACGTACGGATTGTGCACACACCCGTTGGGCGAAAGGGAATCCGGTTCCTATTCCGGAACCCGGCAGCGGAACCGCTTATAATTCGGGCCCTCGCAAGAGAGTTCGTCGGGGCAACCCAAAAGGACCCGGAGACGCCGTCGGGAGATCCGGGAAGAGTTTTCTTTTCTGCATGAGCGTTCGAGTTCCATGGAATCCTCTAGCAGGGAGATATGGTTTGGAACGCGAAGAGCACCGCAGTTGCGGCGGTGTCCGGATCTTCCCCTCGGACCTTGAAAATCCGGGAGAGGCGTCGCGCCGGTTCGTACCCATATCCGCAGCAGGTCTCCAAGGTGAAGAGCCTCTAGTCGATAGAATAATGTAGGTAAGGGAAGTCGGCAAATTCTGTCCGTAACTTCCGGCGAGGTGAAGCGTTGCCGTTTCGACGGCGACGTCGGATCCGGGCCCGGTCCCGTGCCTTGGCCTCCCGCGGAACCGTCTTGTTGCGGGGCTCCGGGTGCGCCGGAAAGGGCGTCTGGATGTCCTCTTTGGCCGCCATTCAACGGTCAGCTCAGAACTGGCGCAGACCGGGGGAATCCGACTGTCTAATTAAAACAAAGCATTGCAATGGCCCCAGCGGGTGTTGACGCAATGTGATTTCTGCCCAGTGCTTTGAATGTCAATGTGAAGAACTTCAAGCAAGCGCTGGTGAACGGCGGGAATAAGTGGATGTGTGTTAACTCGACTATACAAAATTATAACTTCGGGTTTTGTGTTTTGAGGCCGACGCAAGGATCACGTAGGTATTTTTGGTTTGGAGATCGACCGCTTAGTTAGCCCGTAATCGCTTTTTGAACGAACATTAGCACGGGAAAATTCCACAGATAATTGTGTGAGTTTTATTTTTTCGTCCTATCCTCTCGTGTGGGGTGTCAAAAGTGCCCCGTGACAGGGAGGATGATAGTGCTTTTCTTTTTAAAATTCGTCTGGTGATTGAAGAAATTTAGAGATAAACCAATAACGTTTTACGTGGTGCTGCTATCTCGCAGACAGGGGACTTAGAATATTTTTAGTATCTCGTAGTATCAGTTATTGATAATTTTAACAACTTAGAGCAAATATCTGTAGTATAGAAAAATCTACCCCACAGTAGTACTTCCCCTATTTTCGGCGCCGTGATTTGTGTAGTGTAAAGATATTGCAAGCCAATGAACCCGGACGATGAACCGACAAAAGGAGCACTTTAAAAGGAAATAACTAAGCAATATTATAAGTGCTCATCGGTTCATCGACGAGGAAATGGTGAAATGCAGGATATACAGAATAAGCACAAATTGTTATTAAATAGAGAGAATTAAGAATGTTAAAAGAAGTTACGTGTAAACCTCCAGCAAGAACGCAATAAACGTCTCATCAAAAATATAAGTGTTTGTGTGCAAGTCCCTGTCACCGAATAAGAGAGAGAAAGGAAGAATATTTCATGGCGATCCTGCCAGTCCTGGCTAAGAAAATTCAAGAATATTTCATGGAGTAACATCAAGGCTTCACATTAGAAAACCGAAAAGGAAAAATGGGTCAGAATCAGTCAAAAGAAGAGGTCATAATTGCACAAGCTGGCGGCATAAATAATGGTGTAGATGCTTCTTATTCACAGACCGTAAAAGACTATGTACAAATTGCCTTGTGTGGGTTTGCGGTTTTGGTGTTGGTGGCAGTGCTTTACAAATACTGCAAGAAGCGTTTAGGGATGAAAATCAGAAGAGAAATTGGACGTACTCGAGAGGAGGTTTAACGTTCTCTACATGTAGGGTTTTGACAGTCAGTGGAAATGTGCAGTGTTGTGAATGTGTTTCTGGGCAATTCTAGCATTGTCTCATAAAAAAGTTTTGGGTGACATGTGTACGTGCGGGAGTGTTATGGGCATTTCCGAAATAGTGCTGTGTGGTGCATCAAACACTAAAATGTCATGTCTGACAGCACCGCTTTTAGGCATATGTATGAAGAGCTGAAGGTCATTCACCGCAACCTAGGAAAGGACTCATCTGCTAGACGTCAGGATCCAAAAGCAATACGTAGTAAGGTTAACAAAATAAATAAATTAAATGCGGATTTTAAAGACATTAGAGACAATTTTAACAAACATGAACATAATGATGCTTTGAAAAAAGAAGTTAAGGAATATGTAGAGTTAATATTAAAATTGTTCGATTTAATCAATAAAATATTGGAAAGTAGATTAAAAGAGGTTACTGATTTAGGTGAAATCACAGACGTAGATGATTCTGATTTAGAATTGGATAGTGTAGAAATTATTAATAGTAATCTTAGAGTAAAAATGGGAGAAAAATTTAGTTTAAGGACCGCGGCGAGCTTGTTGCCTCTAATGGATGGTACCGAAGACGTCACAAAACGACTAATTGATGCCATCGAGTTGTACGATACTTTACTGGATGCGGATAGTAAAAAATTATTAATTACATATGTTTTAAAAACGCGCTTAACGCAAAGTGCAAAAATTAGATTACAGTCCACTTATGCAAATTGTATTGAATTAATAGCAGACCTCAGAAAATATTTTCTTACAAAAAAATCGGCAGCTGTCTTGTCAGTCCAGTTAAATAGTGCCCGGCAAAATAATAACACAATAGATGAGTTTGGAAAAACTATAGAGGAATTAGTAACAGAATTAACTATTGCGCAAGCCGATGGTGACCAACAGGTGCTCGATGTGTTAAGATTGGCGAATGAAAAAATTGCTATCAATGTTTTTTCAAATGGGCTCCGAAACACGGAATTGAGAACTATCGTAAAGGCTCGAAACTATTCTAAATTGTCCGACGCCATTAGAGGGGCGCTGGATGAACAACCTTCAACGTCGTTGTCTCAGCAAATTTTTAATATGAGAATTAATAACCAGTTCCGAAGGAATTACGGCAACAGGGGTAATTTTAACAGCAATAGGTCCAATTTTCAACCAAATTCAAGGCGCAACTATAATCATTACAATAGTTTTGTTAATAATAACCAAAGGGCGCAAAGCAATACTAATCGTGGAAATAGTAATACATACTCAAATGGCAATTATCGAGGTAGTTTTAGAGGTAATAGAGGTGATCGCGTTAATTATAAAGGAAATCAACTCTCGAATCGGTCAAACCGCGGCCAGAGAATTAGCAACAATCAGTTAGGAAGGTATGATGGCAGGCCTCGCGTGTATGCAGCCGAGAACGGAGAAGAGCAAGCTACAGAAGAAGAAAATAGTTTTTTTCGTGCCAACTAAAATACAGAATAATAAATTAAAATTAGTTGCTAGTGCAAATGGGTTAAATTTTGTACAAATGTATTACAGGGGTAGAAAACGAAAATTTTTAGTAGATACGGGTGCTACGATAAGTGTTATTTTTAGAGAATGGGTACATAGTAATGATGAAATTCGAAAATCGAAAACCATTACAATTAAAGGAATATCTGGATCAACAAAGTCGCTGGGATCAGCATGTCTCAAGTTGCAGATTGTTAACCTATGTGTATGCCATGAGTTTAATGTGATGAATGCGTTTGAAACAGATGTGCACGGTGTGCTTGGGTCAGATTTTTTGCAGAAATACTCAGCGGTAATCAATTTCGAGAAATTTATCATTTCATTAAATATAAATGCTACAGAAATATCATTGCCAATAGAGTCGGAATGTAGTCAATATACCATTTTACCGCCTAGGTGTGAAATAATTAAGTATTGCAGTGTATGTACAGATTTGGAAAAAGATTGTGTTGTTTTACCCGATGAAATTTGTGATGGGGTATTCGTAGCGGGAATTTTGGCCACACCAGAGAAAGGGAAAATTCCTGTGAGAATACTAAATACTCGAAACGAGCAGGTAACACTGAAAAATTTTATTCCAAAAATTAATAGGCTAGATGAATATCAAGTTTGCAGTTTTAAAGAAAATAAAACGATTACGGTAAATAGGGTAGATCAAGTTTTAGATTTAATTGACACCGATCATTTAACGAAAGATGAAAAATTTTCATTACAAAGAGTTTGTGCTAAATATGCCGATGTGTTTCACTTAGAAAATGATCCATTAACAGTTACGAACGTGTATAAACAAACTATTCAATTGCAAAAATCTGCGGTACCAGTATACGTAAAACCATATCGAATTCCACAGTCGCAAAAAGAAGAAGTGCAGAAGCAGATTCAAAAAATGTTATCTGACGAAATTATTGAAGAAACCAAATCTCCATGGTCAGCACCACTTCTAATCGTTCCTAAAAAACCGGACCTAACAGGGAAGAAAAAGTGGAGAATAGTTATAGATTACCGGTTATTAAACAAGCAAATCGAGGATGATAAATTTCCGCTTCCGTGTATTTCAGATATTTTAGATTCTTTATCCGGTGCGGTATATTTTTCACATTTAGACTTATCCCAAGGTTATTACCAAGTAGCACTAGATACCGATAGCCGTAAGTGTACAGCATTTAGCACGGACAGGGGACAATACCAAATGAAAAGACTTCCGATGGGACTCAAAATTAGTCCTAGCGCATTTTCGCGGGTAATGACCATTGCTATGACGGGTTTAACGTATGACAAATGTTTTGTGTACCTTGACGACTTAATCGTTTTTGGAAATAATCTTATTAATCACAACAAAAACCTTACAAAAGTATTACAACGCCTGAGAGATGTAAACCTAAAATTAAATCCGTATAAATGCGAGTTCCTAAAAAAGGAAATATTCTATCTAGGTCATATAATTACAGCTGATGGTATTTCTCCTGATCCAGCAAAAATAAAAGCCGTCCAACAATATCCGACACCTAAAGACGCAAATGACACCAAACGTTTTGTTGCGTTAGCAAACTATTATCGACGTTATATAAAAAATTTTGCTCAAATCGCGGCACCACTTAATAATTTAACCAAAAAATATGTTCAATTTAATTGGACCAAAGAGTGCGAAGCTAGTTTTGAGAAATTAAAAAATGCACTAACAAACCCGCCTGTCCTACAGTATCCGAACTTTACACCTGAAAACTCTTTCATTTTAAAAACTGACGCGTCAGGATTTGCTTTAGGCGCCGTTTTGTCGAACGGAGATGACAAGCCAGTCGCATTTGCGAGTCGTGCGTTAAACAAGAGCGAGAAAAATTATTGCACAATAGAAAAAGAGTTGCTAGCAATTGTATGGGCCGTTAAGCATTTTCGTCCTTATTTATATGGTCGGAAATTTACAATTTTTACAGACCACAGGCCA